CGGATCCGTGACTGTGACCGACTCTCTCGGCTCCAATCCCGTCCTCCCGACCGACCAGAAGGGCGTTCCCTGTGAGGACTTCTCGTGTCTCGAGAGCAGACAAATGCCTGAATGGCGATGAGATTTGTTTTCTAACAGTTTTGTCATTACTTTGCAGTCATTTTCTAACATTATTTTATGTATTAAATTGAAGTGAAAATGAGTTTTCGGTTCAAAACTTGTCTTTTATTTCTCTTTGTTTTGCATTCAATTCAAAGTCAAACTTCTCGTCAATTAATGTCTCAATTCTGCGGATATTTCGCCGCAAATGAGACCCAAATGACGGCCAAAGTGTTGTTCGAGCACTTCCTTTGACAGCACTTCGCGTCCGAAACACCGTTCGCTCGTCTTTTGGCCGTCTATTCGTCGAATTCGGAGAAGACTTCTCGTATCGAATGCGAGTCTTCCCTCCGGAAGACATCCAATTCGCGCACAAGCAGTGGTCGCCCCTCTTCCCAACGGCCACCCGTCCACAGAGTCGTCTTCTCGCGGCCTATTTTTGACGCAAAACCGACAAAATCCTTGTCCTCGCGGCAGACCTCTCGCTGTGGGAATTTTGGCCGAATTCCGCGGCTTTCAAACCACTGGTATTTGAACTCAAACTCCGCGCCAAACCTCTGACTCGCGCTCTTAAAGGGCACTGCCTTTCAGGACCACTTTCTCTGTCATCGACACGAAAAGCCGTTTTGGGAAAAGCATTTCAAGATCGGTGTCGGCGCTCTGGCGGTCGTCGCGTGGCTCTCGCTGTTCGCAGTGTTGATGGTGTGGAAGGTTCTGGAGTACAGGTTCGTCGCAAACAACACTCGTTTCCGGTTTGCCGTAATTTCCGGCGCTTTTCGCAGATATCTGTTGTCAGAGAGACTGTGGGAGGAGTCGCGCGATTTGAGTGTAAAATAAATATTTATTAAAAAGATTTTAAGTGGACTTCCGGTCGGAAGTGGTGTTCGTGACGTCGGCGGGCGTCGACACGAGAAGTGGAGCGAAGGGCGCGACTGCCGGCGCCATCAGGAGTTGGTTGAGATTATCGGACGACGAGTTGGCGGACGAGTGGCGCGAACCGAGAGATGGCGTCATTGGAGTCGACATTGAAGTGAGGAATGGATTCATTCGTTGCGAGCTTTGGATCAGACTTTTGGAGAGATCGCGAGTGACGTCCGCTTTGGCGCTTCCGGCGGTCGGCGCGGAATGCGAGTCGCGTTTCGACTCCTGTTCGAGGAATTGGACGAACTTCAGGGACAACGAGTCGGACGGCTCTGTCATGAAAGGCATGATAAGTGATTGTGTTTGCAGAGCGCTGATTGGCTACCGTTCGGGCGTTTGCGGCCGATTTCGATGCGCGTTCTGTCCATTTCCTGCTGATTAAAGTCGAGAAAACGCGCCAAAAGTCGCTGAACTTCCGCGCGCTTGTCCTCAGGAGTCACGAAATACCCGATTATTAGGCTTTTGATGATCTGTTTGTCGACCTTTCCCTCCGATGACGTCACAAGAGACGCCATCTGCGCGCGCAGGTCGGCCACCAGAGCGTCGTGGCGTCGGCCTTGGGGTCAAAGGTCACGCAATNCATTTGGGTCTCATTTGCGGCGAAATATCCGCAGAATTGAGACATTAATTGACGAGAAGTTTGACTTTGAATTGAATGCAAAACAAAGAGAAATAAAAGACAAGTTTTGAACCGAAAACTCATTTTCACTTCAATTTAATACATAAAATAATGTTAGAAAATGACTGCAAAGTAATGACAAAACTGTTAGAAAACAAATCTCATCGCCATTCAGGCATTTGTCTGCTCTCGAGACACGAGAAGTCCTCACAGGGAACGCCCTTCTGGTCGGTCGGGAGGACGGGATTGGAGCCGAGAGAGTCGGTCACAGTCACGGATCCGTCGCTTTCCAGAGAAATGATTTCGTCTTTCGTGACAATCATTTCGTTTCCGTTCGGAAAGACGACAATACAGACGTTCTCATTGATGACATACAGACTGTCGTCCTGTCCCATAGAGGCGGCCGTCCCGTCGCTGGTCGTCACGTTCACGTAGGCGTCCACCGCGAACACGAGCGACAGACCTCCCGGCGCCGTCACAGTCACCGTTCCGTCCGGCATTATATTAGTGGTGCCGCCGTCTCGGCCGCCGATCGTCGTATCGGTCGGAGTGATGAGCACTTGAGTTCCGGTTTTGGCTCTGATTTCGGCGTTTAGGCCTTCCGTCACCACGACTTCCGATCCGCCCGAAGAGTGCACTTCTGAGGAGAGAGAGAGAGAGAGAGTGAGTGAAGAGCTATTACCACAAGAGAGAAATACCGGCGCCGTTGGAGTCGACGGGGATGAGCGTATTCTTGCCCTCAGGAGTCGTCACAACCATTCCGTACTCCGACTGTTGTTAATGAGTATTATTCAGTGATATGAATATTCGGAGCAATGATTACTCACTGTTTGGACACGAGTTCCGTCGGGAAGAGTGACAGTCATTCCCATTTGGTTGAAGACGACTGACGCGCCGTCACTCATGTTGAGCGACACATTCTGGTCGACGCTAATCGCGACAACCGTTCCGTCGGGAAGAAGCGTTCGCGAGGAGCCGTCCAGCGCCAGCACGGCTTCCGTGCCGTCGGCCGCGGTCACGCGCGACGCCTGACCCACCGTTATGGCGATGGCGGTGCCGTCGGGAGTGGCGATTGTGGTGGGAAGAGCCGGCTCCTGGAGGGGCGACGCCGTGATTGTCGTTCCGTCGGCGAGAGTGACGGTGGCGTTGAAGTCGCAGTCGACCTCCACGTTAGTGTCGGAACAGGGCGGCGGCACTTCCGACGTGTCTTCGGGCGGCTGAAGGACGGAGAGCGCGGACACGAGCCACGGGGCGACGATGAAAGTGGTTTCGTTGAAGTCTTTGCACATCGGGAGCAGCGGTTTCGGCATCAATGCCTTGAAGTCTTCGGTACTGGCGGCCAATTGGCGCTCCATTTCGGCGCTCTTGTCGGCCACAGACAGCACTTCGAGCGCCGTTATGTTCTGCAGAGCCGTCAACTGTGAGGTCTGCGGAATGCAGAAGAATTGATTCGGACAGTAGAGCACGTATTGACCGCTGCTGTCCACCGCAAAGCCCTCCTTCGACGTCAAATACTTGAGGAAGCGGTTCAGAGACAGCGCGTTGATCGGCACCAGGAGGCAGAAGTAGTCGCCGTTTGCCGGCGAACCCGGAGGCCCGGGAGGGCCGGACTGCGGGTCGGGCTTTCCAGTGGTGGCGCTCGTAGTGCTGGCCTTCGTCGTCGTCGTTGTCGTCGCGTTGGGCGTCGGCTTAAGCGTCGGGAGAGTGACAGGAGAGACGGGTTTCTGGACGACTGTCGGAATGAAATTCCCGGCCACTATAGGCTTAGGAGAGGCCAAAGTGGGCAACGCGTGGATCGCGATCGGAGGCTTCGGCTTCGGCGTCGGCGGTCTCTGATAGGTGGCGTTGCTGTAGGCGGGCAGTCGGAAGGGCTCGTGCGACGACGGCTGGCAATTGGTCTTCTTGTAGCCCGAGATGAAGAACGAGCGTTCGGCCAGATTCAGGGTTTCCGTGCGTTTCACGTAATGACAAGCCGTGAGAACCGCCTTTTGGCCCAACATTTGGCCACAGAAGAAGTAAATGGAGCCCTTCTTGAGCTGAACGCCGCACTGCGCCGACTCGGAGGGCGTGTAGACGGTGGACGTCTTGATGGCGAGGAGCGAGGCGGGCGTGAAGCGGAGGACGCGCACCGGACGGAACTGGTAGGTGGCATACGTGACGTTGTGGTGCAGTTGTTGTCCACTGTATTGACGGTCCGAACGGATGGACGCCTCGACGCAGAAGTCGGAGCGACAGAAATCGTTGGCCACTCTCTCGTTATAACATGTGGCGGACGAACAGCGGAACTGGAGCTGTTTGAGTTGGCAGAGACAGGCGCGCGCTGCGGGAACGACAGCCAAAAGGAGACACAAAGCGAGTGTTGGAGTCATTGGAAGTGAAGTGAAAAAAAGGAAAAGTTTTTGCAATAATTTTTATATCGAAACTCATTAACACTTTAACCGCGTTTCCAAACATTTGCGTCGATAACACGTTTCGAAACACTTTCGCCAGAATTGAGGCCAAAAATTGAGCACAAAATACATGGAAAACATTTTTATTGAAACGAATACACATTTAATCGTCTGGTCGGCGCCCAGAGTTCACATTCAGAGCACTTCTTCGCGGAGGAATGAGATCCGCGTCCGCGTAGTCCTCGTCCGCCGTCGCGTTCGGCCACCGCTCGTACTTTTGGGGCCGCATATAAGGCCCCGAAATGTACGCGTTTCCCGGCTTCCGGTCCGCGAACTGATCGTAATTCGCGAACTCCTCCTTCGAGCCCGTCTTCGGCGCCGACTGCTTGTCGAACATTCGCGGACTGTTGGGCTTTTGCGGCGCCGGGAGGTTCGCGCGCTGTGTTGTCGTCGGCTCGTCGTCGTAGTCGTAGTCAGCGGCAGACGTCGCGCGCGATGTCGTCGTCGTTGTCGTCGGTCTTCGCGTTCCTCTCGTTTGCGGCCTTTCGTACGGCGACTGCGGTTCCCTCTGATGGCCGTCGTTCCAGTACTGCTCGTTGGCGGGCGGCGGCGGAGGTCTCGGCCGTCGCGCAGGACTCGTGTCTTCGGGTCTTTCGGGCCGCGCGTTCGTCGGTCTCCTATTCGGGACGTAATTGTTGTCGTAATCGGCGTTCGGATACTTCGCGGGTCTCTGTTGTCCGTAATTGGCGTCTGCCGGCGCTCTGACGGGCGGTCGCGCGTACTCTTTGCCGCCGTTCTGATCCTTCACGGGCCGGATGTCGGGCTCCAACTCCATGTCCGGCAATTCGTTGGGAATTTGCGGCAAAAGCGACGGAAACACGGGATCTATGAGTTCGGACGCCGAGTGGTGTGGCGGCGGCGGTGGTGGCGGCGGGCGATGCATCTGATGCTCGTTCTTGTTGTCGTTCTTCTGCCTGTCTTTGTGGGGTTTGTCGCCGAAGAGGGCGTCGACCGGAATGTCGGGAATTTCGGGCAAAATCTGATCGCCAAAGACTGGTCTTTCCGGAACCACTGCTGCCATCTCTGGTCTCGTGTCGTAAGTAGTTTGCGGCAGAAGAGGTTCAACGGGTTTCTGGTGCGGCGGCTCTTTGTGGTTGAGTTGCGAGAAGTTTGTGAGCATTGGAAACATCTGTAGCGCCGACTGCACAGACTGTATGGGCATTTCTGCGGTGAAAACACGCGTTAATTGCACACAAAAACGGTTTGCCTTTCATTACCCGGTCGTTGAGTCGGAGTCTCTTTCGGTCGCTGAGCGCTCTGTTGGCCGTAAATCTGTTGATTCGGCGGCGGATAAGACGGCGCTCTCACCGGAGGCGCGCTCTCGACGGGCGGCGGTCGCGGCCGCTGTTGAGTGGGCGGCGGATTCGGGCGCTGAGGCAGTGGTGGAGGCGGAGGCGCCCTCTGGGGCTGAGTATTGGCGTTGCTGTTGGGATAAGTGGGCGGAGGGTTGGGTTTGGACGGCGGATACGGCGGTCTGTTGGGCGCAGACGGCGGCGGTTGTTGGTAGGGAGCGGACGGCTGTCGCGGCGGTTTGTTCGGCGGCGGCTGTCGGATGTAATTGGGGGGCTGGGGGTCTATGTTTTGGTCGAAACAATTGACTTTCTTATAGCCGGCGAGGAAGAAGATGCGCTCCGAGAAGGTTAAGGCCTCGAATTTCTTGCCGTAATCGCAAGCCGTGACCCACGCGTTGGGTCCCAAAGCGGTTCCGCACAAATAGTAAATGCCTTTCGTCTTGAGATCGACGCCGCAGTCGTCGAGAGGCGTGAGGAAGAGTCCCGACTCGATGGCGTCCAATGAGGAGGGTTTGTAGCGGAAGTAACGCACGGACTTGAAGTTGTAAAAGGCGTGAGTCGTCGACCCGTTGTCGTCCTCTATGAACGACTTGTCCGACTTGACGGACGCCTCGAGACAGAAGTCCGCCCGACAGTAGTCTTTGATGAGTTGCGTGTCGTAATTGGCGAGATTGGCCAACGCCTCCCACCCGCCTTTGCCCGCAGAGGACGACGCGTTGTTCTTCGGACAGTTGCAGCCAAGGATGCGAGCGATGGTTAGCAGCAGAAGAAGCAGCAGAAGAGTGAACGCAGTCTTCATTGCAGTCATTGTTCACTGAATTAACGATTGTTTCAATCGATTCTCGTTTTCCTGCAATTCGTATGCAATAAAAAAATGTGTTTTAAATGTGTTTTTCCACTCAAAACAACTCATTAATCGCAGAGCGCTTGAAGCGAGCGGTCAATGATCTCAAAACCTCTTTCGCACAGATGGCGACCCGCGGAGGCCTCCCGACCCTCACGTCGCCATTGGAGGGCTGTGTGGACAGGGATCAGACGCGAGAGACGACTTGCAGCCCAACTCTCAAAGAGGTGAGTCCTGTGGAAGGGTTTGTATCCAAATGGATGTAAACTACGGAGCAGTGGTCGCCTCCTGTCACGTGATTCAGACGACCGAAGACAAAGGAATGGACGAAGAATTGGATTTGTGAGACAACGGAGTGGAGAAAGACATGAAAAGCACGGAATGGAAGCGAATCGTCGGCCGAATGAAAGAATGATTAGAATTGCGACCAAAACTGAGTTTCAATGGATTTGTGAGTGTTTTCGTCGAATTCGAGGTTTTATTGTCTTTGAAAGGGTTTTGCATTGAAATGAACGCCAATTTGGGCTAAAAAACAGATATAAAAAACTTGCGAAAGTATTGGCACTCATTTTGCATACAATTCGACGCAATCTTTGACCCAATTTCGCGCTTTTGGGTCTCATATAAAGCCCACAATCGCTTCGACTGCGGTTTACATCACAGCAAATGATTCGCAGACTTGTCCTCAGTTTGTGTCTTATCGGCGCTCACAGAGTGTCCGCTCAGTGTTTGTGTTCGTCCGCCGACTCTAACCTATCCATTGACCGTCGCTTTTGTCTCTTCGACTTCGGAGTCCGCGCTTCCGTGCGAACGGACGCCGAGAGCGACGGCTTTTCGCCACAAGAAGTCATAGTTTCGCGGGTTTTCCGCGACATCCGCCCGAAGAACGACTCGCAATCTCCTCTCGAGCTTTCTGTACACAAATGCCATCATGTGATCAAAGGCCAGGATGTGGTGCTCTTCGGTTCGTACGAAGAGTCCAGCGGAAGACCGCTCGTCACCGAATGCTCTTTTGTCAGACAATGGGATCAGTTGTCGGAATTGTACACAAATGCCATCATGTGATCAAAGGCCAGGATGTGGTGCTCTTCGGTTCGTACGAAGAGTCCAGCGGAAGACCGCTCGTCACCGAATGCTCTTTTGTCAGACAATGGGATCAGTTGTCGGAATCGGAACTTAAGTTCTTTGAAAACGACTCTCAATTGGAGTGCAATGAGATTCTGAGGAAAGGAAAGGTCGACACAAAGACCACTCTTCGGCCCAAAAAACCGGAAGCGACACAAAAGACGACGAATAAAGCGAAACAACAGACGACCAAAAGAACAACGACTGAAACGCCGGAAACGACTCCTCTCTCGACCACAACTCAGAAGCAGAAGAAACCGAACGAAAGTTCCAAAACAAAAGCCCCGCAGAAGAAACCGGAAACACCGGAAGTGCAGAACTTCGAGCCCGTCCGCCCGGTACACATCTCGGAGATCCCGGTCTGGACTCATCCCAAACCCACTCAACCGACAAAAGAGGATTTGATTCCACTTCCTCCTAAGCCAGTCTTCAAACCACCAAAACCCGCCAAAAAGCCACACAAACCTCACCCCGAATCCCCGCCACCGCCACCCCCACCTCCACCTCCTCCGCCTCCCAAACCCGAGCCGGAGTTCCACATCCCAGCCCTTCCTGAAGTAGAGTTTGCGCCAATCCCAGCCATTCCAGAACTCCAGTTCCCACCGTTTCCCGAATTGCCTGACATTCCGACGATTCCTGAGATCCAGTTCCCGCCCATTCCTGGTGTTCCGAGTTTACCCGAAGTGGTGTTCGACCCGTTGCCCGAATTGGATCCCTTTCCGCAGATAGTTTTTCCTCCGATTCCGGAACTGCCGAACATTCAGTTTCCGCCCATTCCTGCGATTCCCGAGATTCACGGCGGCCACGGATCCCACGGATCCCACGGATCGCCGCACAGGGACGAGGAGTCGGCGACTCCCGAACCCCAGGAATACGACTCGAATGACAACCATTACTGAAGCATTCATTTCCACATCAAAAGCGAAACATTTTGCAATAAAAAGACATTTTCTCACAAACTGTTCAATCGTTTCATTCATTACTGACTTTGAGTTTGACTTTTGTGTCAAAGTATTTATTCAACAGATTTATACGAATACTGTATAAGCGATACATTGAAGACATAAAAAGCGATTTCCGCTCAAAACTCAATCACAGTTCGGATAGTTTTTCCCTCTTTCAAGACATCAAACGCGCGGACGATGTCTTCCAAACGCATCCGATGAGTGATCATTGAGTCGATGTTCAGACTTCCCGCGCACATCATGTCCACCAGACGCTGGTTGGCCTCCCGGGGCTTCATGTTCCCGAAGTAACCGCCGGCCACTTGTCGGCCTTCCAGAAGTTCCGCAACACTTGTCTCCACTTTGTTCCCGCGTTTACCCAAACCTGAAGTTAAGACAGAGTTGAATGAATGGGCGGACAATCGCTCGACACGTGACTACCGATGACAGTGAGTGATCCCCACGGCGTCAGACTCTTGAGAGCGGTGTTGAGGACGTCCTGATTGCCGATGCAATCGAACGCGTATTCAATGCCTTTCGCTCTCAACACCTCTTCCAACGGCTGGTCTGAAGACAAACACACTTTGAAAGGCGTTCACAACTCAACGCTTTTATACCCAAACTCTTGGGATTAATGAATTCATTGCAACCCATCTGTCGAGCGATCGCTTCCTTCTCGCCGTTGATATCGATTCCGACGATAGTGTCGGCCGAAGAGTCC